AATTAGGCAAGAGCCAGCTATTTTAGATAGTAAAATATGGTGGAAGAAGCATTTTTATTGCATGATAAAAATGTAATCCCCAAAACAAATTAAGTCAGTTGATAAAACAAATTCCATTTTATCAAGTGCCTCTTACATCCAAGAAGCTATTGACATGGTTTTCCTCTTTTGACGTATTAATACTAAATATAATAAACCCCCATCATAACAAATTTTTCTCCTACATAGCCCATAAAGTGCTACATTGTTATATAAACAGTAATTAAAAATACAGACTGGGAAGTCAGAGTATTGGAGTCTAAATCTGGGCTCTATTTACAAGCTGTGTATTCCAATTGACTCATGCATAGAATGGACACAGTAATGGTATATCTGCTCATACAGCTACTGTGGAGATCAAATAGGGTAACATGCATTGTAAGGATAATAAGTACCAATGATAACTATTTCTCATTAATAAAGTTATATTTGATATTCATTTCACTTACGGGTTTATCATGTATATCCCTAAGTAAAATCAGTTCCTTGTTTTGTCAATATAGGATGATTTGATATGCAAGGTATATTAGCTTTAAAAAACATTTGGAAATCTTTCCTTGTCTCTTTACTCTGGAATAATTTATATTTTATGAAAATAATATTTTTAAAGTGCTACTTTTCATAATTAGCAAAATAATTTATAAAATTTGGGGGTAAGAAGGAAAACAAGATGTTGTAGTGGAAGGGGTTAGAGTATTAGATAAAAGGGCAGCTGTCCAGCTAACCCCACCTCTGCCATGGTCATGTGGGTCACAAGTACTCCATATGAATATGAGGTAACACATCTCGCCCACCTCTTGGATCTTTTATCTCAGCGACTATTAGGCATGTACAACTAATTAGTGCCCACTTGTTTTAACTACCGCTCCTAAAGGAGAACAAATCTCACTGTGTATTTCCTTTTTTATTGCCATTATCTCCCCAACATGTTAACTTAAATGAACATCAAGTGTAATATAATAGAATGACTGAAAAGGAAAATTATAGAGATAATAGTGGATATTTTCTACCATTAAGACCAGGGTTGAATAGAGATATGAAAATTTCAAGTTTTAAAAAGTTACTGGTCAACTATCAGGATTTGCCAAAATTTTAATTTTCATTCCTGGATTCACTCATATCACATTAAACTCCTAGGTACTTGTTCAGAGGATTTCAAAAGCAAAAAGTAATATTCTAAATATAGGATAAACAAAAAAAAAAGTCCTAACTCCAAAGAAAATACCATAATTTATTCAGATTTGGGAAAACACACTCTTGGAAAATTTCCACTTCTGAGACAAATGTAGGTTCTTCATTTAAGTTATATTATACTAGAGGCCCAGTGCATGGATTCGTGCACCAGTTGGATCTCTCAGCCTGGCCTGGCCCCTCTTGAAATCCAGGACCCTCAGGGGATATTGGACTGCTGGTTGTGGCCCAATCCCCGCAGGCGAGACCGATGGGACCCCACAGATGCACTGGGCTCTAGTCTCATATAATAAAAACCTAATATGCAAATTGTCAACCACTTGCTATGACATGTGCTAACCACCAGGTGGTGGCACAGAACATGGTGGGCAGCAGTGGAGGCACTGCCAGCTCTAATGGACCCTTATGAAAGCAGGACTACAGCGGGATGGTGGAGCCAATGAGCAGGCAGCAACCAATGCTGGCAGCAAGGGGCGGGGCCCCAATGACTCAGGCAGAGGATGGCACATGGGGGCCCAGGGACCTAGGTGCTGTCCAGGACCAGATGTCAGCTGGGACCTGCCCTTCCATGCCAGACACTCACACTTCCATTGCCAACCGGGTCTAGGGACTGCACCCATGCACAGATTTTATGCATTAGGCCTATAGTATGCATATAAGATCTCTGGTTAATTTCTTCCTACCCTCTTCCCTCCCCACTTCCCTCTGAGATTGATCAGTCTGTTCCACGTTTTCATGCCTGTGCATTTATTTGAGCGTCTGCTCCCAGAGGGTCAGTGCATGTCATAGTTACTGGTCAATCGGTCCCTTAGGCTTTTATATATATAGAATTCAGTTAAAAAGTACTGAAACACAAATACCAATGAAGAGTAAGGTTATGACTATTAATCATTACCTTTTATGGGGAACTTAATATGTGATAAAGCACTTCATGTTTATTTCATCACCTAACAGTCCCATCACCCTATGAAGCAGGTGTTTCTGTACCTTGCTTTTAACAGATGAGGAAATTGAAGATCAAAGCAGTCAAGGCACTTGGCGAAAGTAATAAGGCTAATATTATCATTTAAATTTCAAAGCCCATACTTTTAATATTTATAGTCAAATGAGTGACTAGAATTAAATTTAGTTAAGCAATTAAATGTGAAACTATATTTTTTGTAACTCTAATACTTACCATGTATAGCACTGACAATAGGTTACTTTTTGAATAGATGATTTTAAAGAATAATCACTCTGAAAAGCATATTTAACTGAAAAGTAGAGCCTAAAAAAAGTTACTTCCAAGATTAAAACTGCTAACAAATTAAATACTAATATTACTTTCTGGAATTATTTGTAGGAATCGTAATTTCTAGGTTAGAAATGTTGACTTCAACCCAGATTTATTGAATTTTTTAAAAAAATTTTATTAAACACTTCTATTGAACATATCTAGGTAAAATATCTTGTTGAGTTTATAAACAGAAATATCAGTGACCTAGTAATAAAAACAGAAAAATAATTTAAATCTATTTTCATGGTTCACATACACTGAAACTAAAACAAACATAATAGGCATCTTGTATCAACATTTGGGCTTCACAGAAAATATCAGGAAATTGACACATAGACATAAATGATCTATAAAATATCACCCTGTATAACAAGATTATTTATATAGTAGACTTTGTGTTATATTTACAAAAATTATAAATATTTTAGATATAACCCTATTCTAAATATACATTCAATAATTTTACTTAAGCTAGGAAAAGTTGTAATATATAAGATAGTCTGACATTATTTAAAGCTGACTTTTCATAGTTAGGACACAGTAAATTTGAAAGGGACAATGCAATTGCAGCAATTTTTCAAAAGATTGTGTTAGTAAAATGAAATCTGAACGATTTATTAAGACTGAAAAAGGCCCCTTAACAGGAATCTTCATTAAAACACACACACACACACACACACACACACACACACACACACACACACACACACACACAGTAGGTCCTCGGGTTATGTTGGATATCCGTTTCTATGGCACAACTTAACTCGATTTTCACCGTAAGTCGGAACCCACCTATATAAGCACCTAGCTTACTCACATGGAGCACATATACAGCAGTGAAACAGTAAAAAACATTTAAAAGAAAGATAATTCCTGACTTCTACTTGTGTTAAATAAAAAATCATACAGCACACATGTACATATGTGGAAATGACAGAACTTATTATTTTTTTTTTATATATAAATGGGAGATAGCAACGTCACCATGGAAAGACGTAAGTTGAGTCTGATGTAACCCGAGGATTGCCTGTGTACATAGTATTTATATTGTACATACATATACATGTATATATAAATATATATGCATTTTTAGAGCTATTCCCAGTTCTTTCATTTTAAAAGAAGATTGTCAGCATCTAAGTGAGACAGATATGCACTGTTCTCCTACAAAGGAGCCTTTTGTATCAAATCTAAAAGTAAAAAAATATTTTAATCCACTTTTATTATTTAGGTCACACTTCAAATTAATCAAATCATCATAGTTTCATCAGGTAAAACTGCTAACATGAAAGCTCTTAAAATTCAAGGTATTTCTCCAAAACCCATAAAATAATTAGGTTTTAGGGTTACCTTTTTATTTTTTAATACACCTTCAATTATAAAAGTCAGATCACTCCTTTGCATATTCAGATGACAGAGAAGCAGCTACAATTCTTTTATATTTCTCTTCCATCTAGCTGTGAAAAGGGGAAAAAATAAATTTAAAATAAAGGCCATGAATTGGCCCAAATATACTTACTTTTAGAAACATACATGTAAAGTAAAAATGTCTCCCAAGTGACCTTGTTTCTCCCAACATCTTCTAGTTTACCTTAAAAAAAAAATATAGCAACCCAAAACAGGAGCAAATTTGAGGGTAGGACATACTGACAGATTGCTGAGTGGTTGATCACATATAATCTTGCACAGACTTTGTGTTCAGTAAAATGCTCCCAAATGACGAGCATAAGATGAATTAATAGGGAGAGAAATCTTTAAAGATAAATCAGGACATTGATAAGCAAAAGGCTGAAACTGAAATTTTATAACATGTTCCCCTAAACTGATGTAATTTTTTCTCTTTAGAAAATTTGTAAGATAGTCTTAATTTTTGCTTTCTAGGAAAAAAATAATGGTATGTGCCAAAAATGTCTTACCTTAAAAATGAAAGTACAAGGGAAAAAAACTTGAAAAAAAAAAAAATATATCAACCAAACCTTTTAAAATTATTCTCCAGTGTGGGGTAGAAGTTCTCCAATTCTAAATGTAAAAATCCAACACAATTTTATCTGAAAGGAAACTAAGCTTGAATGAGTTTAAATTATCATCTGAGTCACTGAATTGATCATTTTAATCTATTTTCAAAGTGTACTGATTTTATTGGAGGATATCAACTTTTAGCTTTGAAGATAAAGGTTCCAGGTCTGTTCTTGGCTATCCCAGAAACTCTGCTTTTTTTATAATTTCAACAAAACCCTAGAAAGTTGTTCCAAAGTGAACTTTTTCAACCTACTCAACAGAATTCATGAAAACACTCTGATATCCATTTCAGCAGCATTTGTCTCCATGAAGCACATCAAAATCATCCAGACATCGAATTGCTGATTTGATAGAATGATTTATTTTTCCATTATAGGAAAATCATGAGTGACTTGTTCTGAGGTATGTTTTTGCGCTATGAAGGTCATCTATTAGAAAGCTTCACACTTGAAGGTTCTTCTGTAGGTGGTAACATTTACGGCTGGACAGTCTCTGCAGGCACCAGATTCCCTGTTGTATCCAACTGCATACATTTACACGTGCATGCAGACACAGGACACTCTGCATGGTCCCTAAAAGAATAGATCAAATAACAGTTAAAAATCAAAATTAATACACACAGATATATACATACATAGGTACATATGTACATTTTTAAAAATCTGCATATCTATCTATGTCTATAATGCAATTTTTCAAAATGACAGTTGGGAAAGTATAGTAATTCAAATCCAAAGACAAAAACACATTAAAAGCATTAAATTAGAAATTTATGCCACGCTGACATGGGAAGAAAGTTACTAAAAACTTGAATGGCTTTGTTTTATAAATATACAATAAAATATCCATCTGCAGTTATGAAGGTGAAGGGATGTGGTCAACTTTAAAGCCAGTGTGACAAAGTAAATGTAGAAGCTATAGCAATATAAAAGACTGTAAAGCCACTAGCACTGCTCAGTGTAAAAATTAATTATGGTCTTGAAAATCTCCATTGCATGAGGTACTTACTACATAACAGCTTATTTAGAAGATAACTGATATATACTCTGTCATTTAATTTATAATTCAATTACATATTACATATAGTAGGACCTCCAGTAAACTGAAAAACTAAACATATATAACATATATTCCCCCCAAATAAAGCAAAATAATGCTAATCAAACACTTAATCCATATATCATATTTAAACTACTTATTATATGTTTAATTTTATAAGATTACAAAGGATATCTAATAATAGAAAGGTTGCCGAAACCGGTTTGGCTCAGTGGTAGAGCGTTGGTCTGCAGACTGAAAGGTCCTGGGTTCGATTCTGGTCAAGGGCATGTACCTTGGTTGCAGGCACATCCCCGGTAGGGAGTGTGCAAGAGGCAGCTAGTCAATGTTTCTCTCTCATCGACGTTTCTAGCTCTCTATCTCTCTCCCTTCCTCTCTGTAAGAAATCAATAAAATATATTTTTTTTTAAAAAATGTTGATGTCCCCTTAGTTAACTCAGGTGACAGGAAAGAATAAATTCATCCTTTAGTTGTATAAACCTGAAGTATTTAAAAAGCTATCAACTTTATCTTCTCTAACTCCAAGCCTATTAAAGAAGGAATGTGATTATTACCTGAACCAACTAAGCATATGTCCAGCATGCCCACCATGCCTGCAATTGTGACACCATGTGAACCAGTTGTTAAATTGAGCTAATTTTTTGTCCTTGCTCAAGTCTACTTTTTCATCTGATTTGGATCCTCCTATGGGTTAAAGAAAATGATCTTCAATAACGATATTATAATATTAATTCAAATTTTCTTAAAAGGTATTCCAGAAGCTATGTCAAAATACAAATCACATATCATATTGAAAGAAGCATCAAACAGACGGTCAAACTACAGTGGGAAGGCAGGGGACAGTTTGGGGGGTAAGAGATCAACTGAAGGACTTGTATGCATGCATATAAGCACAACCAATAGACACAAGACATTGGGGGGAGAGGGGCAGTGAGAGCAAGTCCCGGGAGGCCGGGAGGAGGTCAATGAGAGTGGGAAAAAGACCTATGTACTATTATTTGTAATATCTTAAACAAGGAAAGGGAACAGAAAGGGAAAGGGAAAGAGAAAAGGAAAAGAAAGATAAGACAAGAAACAGTAATTTTAATGCTAGTATCTAGTTAGGTTGAAAATATACTAAATAACAAGTTTCCTCACATTTTTCATAGCTAATAAAACACTTGAAAAATATAAGGTATCAAACCATCTAAGAAGCAATCTGAATTAACAATTTTAGAGAAGTAACTGGTAGCTTAAAATCTTCCCATAAAGAAAAACACCAAGTCCAATTTACAAGAGAGTTGTACTAAACAATGAAGGAACAGGTAATTTTTACCTATACAAACTCTGTCAACGCACTGGAAAAGTGAAGAAATCTCCCAAAGAACTCTATGAAGCTGTCATAACTTTGCTAACAGAATCAGGCAAAAATAATATAAGAAAGGAAGATTAAAGACCAATCTCTCTCCTGAACAGAACATAAAAACCCTAAGTAAAACATTATCAAACAGTATTATTTAATTAGCATTTCTACTCATAGGTAAGTACACTAGAGAAACTCTGTACATGCTAAACAAAGACATGCAGGAATGTTCATAGCAGCATTGTTCGTAATAGTAAAAATCTGGAAGCAAACATGTCTATAGGTAGCAGAGTGGAAAACTGTGTTACAGTCATTAATGGAATACTAAATAAGAATGAGAAAGGAATAAACTATAGCTACATTCATTAGCATAATTAACACTAAAAAACAAACAAACCCCAATGTTAAGCAAAAAAGCAAAATCAAAGAATATAACCCATAATTCATTTGTATGGAATTTAAAACACAGACAAAACTAAACATGTTATAAAACTATACAGACAGGCTAGAGATTGAGAAACACAGTTTAGGATAGTGGTTACCTCTGATAGGAGGAAAGAGGTGAGACTAGGAAGGGAAAAATAATCAAAGGCACTACCAAAGACAATGTCATATTAAGTAGGCTAGAAGACTCATTGATGTTTGATTTATTACAGTACATGACATACACATTCCTATCCATTACAGTGCACAGTGAGTTCTATTTTCTATTTATCAGTATTGGGGCTATAAAAAGTGAAGAACATGAAATGTATAAAATGGAAATCTTTGATTAAAATTTAAATTGAAAGTAATAAGTGCATTTGAAAACATAATGTATTGCCTTTATTTGTTTTAAAAAAAAAAGGCATAAATTGAAAAATAATTACTCAGCCAATGATACCAGCAAATTTCTTTCAAAGATGTTAATGTAACAATAAAGCAGGCTATTTAAAATGAATCAGCTGCAGACTAGAATTACAAAATTTCATAACTATGAAGGATCGCCCCATCCAACACTTTATATGAAAAAGAGCTAACTTAACTCTAAATTTCACACATTGAAATGTCAGAGCTGTAACTAAAACAGGTATTCTGACATCATATCCAGTTCTTTGTTCATTATACCAGTGTGCCAAATATTAAAATGATTTAATTAAAATGTTTGCCATAGTATCATAATCGAGTTATATAAATAACTGGAATATTTCTAGCCACTGGGTACATTATATTCAGTTATCCACTTTCCTCAAATATTTTTTTTGTATGTTACCCAAAGCGGTAAACAATAATTCTAATATTTCCAACCATACATATAATACTTGCTAGGTAACTGATAAATATTGCAGGAATAGCACTAAATCCTGCAAGTAAAGGAATTTTACTTTTAGATTAATACTTTCTGTATTTCACAGGTAGATTCTGAAAATGAAATAAGAGAAAATGTGCAAGTGCTTTGAGACTATCAAAAACTCTTTATGCATTAAAGGCAGTTATTAGATGAGGGCACACTGACTTAATATAATATTTGAGGAAACCCCTCTTAGAAAGAGTGACAAGAAAATGAAATAACATTACTTAATATTTAAGCTCTTCTCACTTCAAATTGGCTAGAATTTGTGAGATTACCTGAGATATCCTGGATATAGATTTTACTTTTAATGTATAGATTTCATAAACCATAGGGGACAAAAGCCAGCAAGCAAGTGGTTTGCTCTTAGAATACAAAACCAAGCTAGTATTACTTTTATTTACATTAGATCAATTATGAAAGAACAATTTCAGCACAGAAGAGAATATTGGAGAATTATCATACCAGGACAGCTCGAAACAGGTGTTCCCATATTAATGAGACAAAGTGCACATCGAGGGAGGGGTTTTCGACAGCCAGGGCAACTTGTGACTTTGGATTTCGTTGGTGAGCCACTGACCCCATACTGACTAAAACCTCTGCCCTGATGAGGCACAGTTGAACAACTGTAGGAGATAGACTTGCCACAGAAATTGCAACTCACAAACACCTGGAAAACAAATAAAAGAAGTTAAAATATAATACAAACTTTATAAATAAAAAATTCAAAGTTTGATCCTAACAAATTAAAATAAATTTTAAACATTATTTTGAATTATAAAATAATTTATCTGCTAAGTTTTACTAGCTCTTATTTAAGATTTTCACTTCGCAACTACATTGAGTACTTTCAGTTACCTTTGTTTAGTTATATTCTTCCTAATGCCATTGATATACTGTATAAAGAAAAACTTGGCAACATTAGATCCTAACATTTTAGAAATAATGAGAGTTCACATTAGATCATAATATTTTAGAAATAGGGACTCAGAGACATTAAAAATGACTTCTGATCCAAAGTTCCATTATATAATCCTTGTACAAAATTTTCTTGTAAAGAAAACTCTCAGTTCCAAAGTAGGAAGGATTTAAGGATCCTGTAATGGTAAATAGTTAAAACTTGAGAGTAATAGCATTAGTAACCATCCATTTTGCTTTAAATTGAACTCCAAGGTTCTTAAAGACTTATCATATAGATCAGTAACAAGTATTATTACATAATGCAATTTTACTAATACTCAGGTTGTTTTAATAGCAGCAATTTCTCAACTTTCTAAAATAAGAGAACAGCACCATCCAGTGCTCACATTGAGGATATACCTGATATTTAATGTCCGAACTTATTCAGTGTTATCTTATGTCTTGTGCCTTATAAGATAATTCATTTCATGTTTTTTAAACTAATGCAAAAAGAAAAAATTTAAAATGTCCACGTGCAAGCAGACATACATCTATATATGTACATACTGTTAAAAAAAAAATCCTGCCTTATAACATATAAATAGAGCAGAAAAATAATACATAAATAGAATCTATAAGACCAGAGTTGTTTAGATTCTGAAAGGTTTTATTAGAATATACTGGAAAACCTCAGCCAGTCCTAGAATTAATTTAGTTTTGCTTCAGATCCTCTAGGCCTGCTGTGTTTGCTCTATCTTACTAAAACTCAAGCCACTGAGGTGACTTAGAAAGTGGAAGGACCCAGACAAGTGTAGTTTGGGATAAAGACATCAATGTGAACTCAATATAGGCAAAAGAATTAGCTAATCATTTTATTAAAATGGATTCTAAATGCAGCCTACATAACATGCTACAAACACTTTTAGTTATGGCTAGACTGCGGTAGATGTTATTTGATTCTCTCCAAAGCAATATACTTACCTGTGCTAAAGGCTTGGAACTGGGATCCAACTTACTCCGGTGAATATCAAATTCAGCTCGTTTGTGCCAAAACCTCCAGGCATCTAATAAATTTCTATAATTCTCAATCCAGTACTGAACTCTTTCATCTTTAAGAACATCTAAATGAGAACCCTAAAAAGAAAGCATGATTATTTTAGTTGTTTAAAAATGTCCTGGCTAAACCAGAACATTCTAGGTAACATGTGAGTACAAGTCACACAAAGAAGAAATAGGCCTCCTTCTGCCAAAAGCTGACTCTTAATGAGGATAGAGATAAAATAATTATAGGAACCTCCATTAATTTACTTTACGCTGGTCTCTACTAATGACAGAAATAGATAATGTGTACACACACACACACACACACACACACACACACAATGTAGATATCATTAGACTGGCAAGGGAAGGGTAAAAAGCTTAAAAATCCAAAAGCAAACAATTCACCATCCTGGTTAAAAGCAGTAAAAAGTGACGTGAATACTCTTTGTCTCAACTATCAAGATTTCTGGGTTCACAAAATCTGTTTACTATCTGATCCAAATACATACTAAAACTACTTAATCAGATTAAAAATAATACTGTGTCTGGTCCTTCATTATCTAGCAATGTATTGTAAACTGATATTCTATTTTGTATACCTATTTATCTGAAAGTTAAACCTGACTATTCTCACTCTTATCCCCAATTAAAGCATACATTTATTACCTTAAAAATTAAAAAGAAAAAGCCAAAAATATTCTTAGTTCTTATGTCCCTAAGACAGTACAAAACAACATTTTATTTTCCTTAAATTTACTTTAGACTTTTTCTCATTAGTAATTTTAATTTCTTGCCAGTAAGTCTCTTCCTAAAGCTGTATTTTCTCTGGCAGCTGTCACATTTCACATTTCATCCATCGTTGCTTTGTTTTCACAGAATGCTTACAGGCCTGTCTAACATATATCTCCTTAACTTACAAAGAAAGGATAATATGTCTACCTCCAGTGATGCTCCAGCATCAGTGTGAAGCCCAGTTTTCCCAATTCTATTTGGAAGCCAGATAGAAAACTAAACTGTTAGATCTTAGCATGCATCTTACTTATAGAAATAGAAAGATACCTATCACACTTAATAAAGACAATCTATCTTTACACATTTCATTAAAAAAGAGCATATCTATCACCTATTAATTACTGGTAGGTAGTAATTTCCATTAACAGAGTTCATTTAACTAAAGAAAAACTGTTAGTTAACAAAAGTAAATATCTACTCGTCTTAATTATGAGCAACTAGTTAGAACTAAGTACTAAAGTAGAATACAAGTCCTGTTTTGTGTGTTGTTGTTTTCTAAAGAATTCTTCATACCCCCCTCTTGCCTCTTCCATAGCAGTAAGGATAAACTAAGAAAATTTGATCAATTCATATTCAGTAAGTCTTCTCTAGATTGCTCCTATAAAACCTCAAGTCAAACTCTGATAAAATCTGTAGAGGAAACAGTTCAGTGATTAAGTCTGTCCAAATCAGAAGAGCGGGCAGAATACCCTGAGCTTTCTATAGACCCATAGTAACAAAATGTAAGACCAGAGTGAGCAGCAAGTAATTTCTAAAAGTATTAACAAAAATTCTTCAGGAAAAGGTAAAAGAACCCAGAACTTTATAATGTACTGTACATAACATGCAATAATAAATTAAAAATCACTAGATATATAAAGACACAGGTAAATGTGATTCAACGTTAAAAGAAAAAGATAGTCAATAGAAACTAAATCTAAAAAATTCCAAATGTTAGAGCTAGCCAACATACAGTTATTGGACACATTAAAAGACTCAAAGAAAAATGGTGTTTTAATTAGTGAATAGATAAGGATCTGGGCTAAAAATGTAAACTATTCAATAAGATTCTAGAATGAAAAAGCACAATAACTGAAATTAAGTATTCCCTGGAAAACTTAACATGGGAGAGAAATACATGAATAGCATTAATCCAATTTGAATAGCAGGGGGGAAAAATGGAAAAGACCCTCAGATACCTATAGAGTAATATTAAATAATTTAATCCTATATAATAAAGAGGTAATATTCTAATTGACCATCACTCCAACACACTAGATGGCCACCCCCATGTGGTCAAAGATGGCCGCCCCCATGTGGACACAAGATGGCCACAACAAGATGGCCAGCAGTGGAGGGCAGTTATGGCGATCAGGCCTGCAAGAACAGGCAGTTGTAGGCGATCAGGCCTGCAGGGGAGGGCAGTTGGGGGGAACCAGGCCAGCAGAGGAGGTGTGACCAGGCTGACAAAACAGGCTGGCAGGGCAGTGGTTAGAGAGTGATCAGGCTGGCAGGCAGAAGTGGTTAGGGGCAATCAGGAAGGCAGGCAGGTGAGCAGTTGGGAGCCAGCAGTCCTGGATTGAGAGAGGAATGTCGACAGTTGGAGAGGGTGCAGGCTGGCTGAGGGACAGCCCCCATCCCTGCACTGCACAGATTTTGTGCACTGGGCCTCTAGTATTTATATAACAGAGTCCAAGAGAAAAGAATGAGATGGAAAAAATATGCCTGAAAACTTCCCAAATTTGATGAAAAACACTGACTTGCAGATCCAAGAAGCTCAGCAAACCACAAGCAGAAAAAATAAAACCACATTAGGCATTAAGGTTAAACTGCTAAAAGTAAAAAAGAAAACCTTGCAAACAGTTCAAGGAAAAGATAAAAAATTACATAGGGGACAACATATTAATAGTTGACTCATCATCAGAAATATTGGGAGGCCAGAAGACTATAAAACCACGTCTTTAAAGTGTTGAAAGAAAAATAAGAACAAAATGGTCATTTAAAATTAAACTGGGAGAATCTGTCTCCAGTATTTCTGTACTATAAGAATTCCTAAAGAGAACACCAAAAGAAAAGAATACTAGATAAAATTTGCATCTATTGGTTTAAACCACAGGTAGGGAACTTTTTTTTTTGCCAAAGGCCACTTGGATATTTATAATATCATTCGAGGGCGATACAAAATTATCAATTTAAAAACTAGCCTGCTCTAATCAAACATTTTTTTAAAATATATTTTTATTGATTTTTTACAGAAAGGAAGGGAGAGAGATAGAGAGCTAGAAACGTCGATGGAGAGAAACATCAACCAGCTGCCTCTTGCACACCCCCTACTGGGGATGTGCCTGCAACCAATGTACATGCCCTTGACCGGAATCGAACCCGGGACCTTTCAGTCTGCAGACCGACACTCTACCACTGAGCCAAACCAGTTTCGGCTCTAATCAAACATTTTATTAGCTCACTCCTAATGCCTTGACAGGACCAGACCAGCAGATCTCACAAGCCTTATACAGCCCATGGGCCAGACGTTCCCTAGCCCTGATCTAAACAGTACCAGGAATTGTAACTAAGTAATAAATAAATATAAAACCCCATGTTTTTGTTCTTCACATAACTTACACAAATGACAACTAACTGTTCAAAGCAAAAATTGTAACACTCAACTTTGGAGCTTATAACATATGTTGAATTAAAATATATAACGAAGGACAAAGAAGGGGTGTGTAAATATAATTACACTGTTGTAACAATTGTGGTATGTGAAAAATGAAGCAAAGTATAAAGTATTAGATATAAGGTATGAAAAAGAAAGGATGAGATAGGAAGTCTGAGTATTAGATATGACATGTGAAGTATGAGGAGGTAAAATGTTCACTAATGAGTTAAGGATATACATTGTTATACCTAGAGCAACAACGTTTAAAAGAAAAAGAGAGCCAAAACCGGTTTGGCTCAGTGGTAGAGCGTCGGTCTGCGGACTGAAAGGTCCCGGGTTCGATTCCGGTCAAGGGCATGTATGTTGGCTGCGGGCACGTCCCAGGTGCGGGGTGTGCGGGAGGCGGCTGGTCGATGTTATCTCTCTCCCTTCCTCTCTGTAAAAAAATCAATAAAATATATTAAAAAAAAAAAAAAAAAGAAAGAAAGAAAAAGAGAAAGAGAGAGAATGAAAAGGGATTTTGCTACAAAGCCACTAGATGAAATAAAACGAAACACTGAAATATTCAATTAGCCTGAGAGAAGGCAGGAAAGGAATAGAAAATAAAAGAAGAAAACCAAACAAATGGAAAACAAATAGCAAGATGACAGCTACCATCTTTTCCTTAAGACAGATGCTCCAACACATTGCACTAACCTGTAACATGCAGTAACTTGCTGTTTGGACATCTCCAGTCCTATCGACATAACTCTCCATTAAGTCCACTCCATCTTTAGTAAGGCCTGTAAGCAGAATTCCTTCCAAATTTCCAGCCTCTTTCATTTCATTGGTCAACTTTTCGATGTATCTATTTAACTGGAAAATTCAAAGTGAATTTTCTGAAGCAACCCATTTCACTTATCTCTTGGCCTTCAAAACTTCTACATTGTGGAACAATTTTATTCTTAATGCAAAATATTGTAAAACAAGAGCCCCTACAAAAATCTAGATGTATGATCTTCTAAGTCTTTGCATCTAATATAAATTACAATTCAGCATTCATGATCACCAAAAAAAAAAAATTTTTTTTTTAAAGGCAAGGCATTTCTGTGTTTGATAATCCTATATACTAAAAGGGTAATATGCAAATCAACTGACTGGGGGAATGACTGGTCGCTATGATGCACACTGAGCATTGGGGGCAGATACTCAATAGAGGACTGCCCACACACAGGTGGTCAGCGTGCTCCCACAGGGGGAGTGCTGCTCAGCCAGAAGCCCTGAGCTGGACTCACGGCTGGCAAGTGCACAGTGGTGGTGGGAGCCTCTCCTGCCTCACAGCGACAGCGCTAAGGCTGTCCAGCTACTGGCGTAGTGGGAAGTGGGCCTAAGCCATCAGTTGGACATCCCCCAAGGACTCCTGGACTGAGAGAGGGCACAGGCTTGGCTGAGGGACACCCCCAAGTGTTCGAATTTCATGCACCAAGCCTCTAGTTATTCTATAGAGACTAAAGAGGGTTTACTGTTAAATTTAAAGAGAACTGTCCTTATTATTCTGCAAAGTTCTTGCTGCCTATTATAGTAGGATGCAGTAGAATCATAGAATCTTAGTAGAAAGGGAACCTCCGGATTATAAAAAACAATCATCTCTTGTAAGGTCTTCCCAGACTTCATTCCTCCCCAAACTCTAGTCAAGATTTCTCTATATTCCCCCAACATTATTTTCATTATTATAGCACTTAGCATTGTAATACTAGCCATATGTGCATTTCTCACTATATATATATATATATATATATATATATATATATATATATATATATATATATATATATATAGCATATGTATTCAGTACCTACTTACTGCATTAGAAAACAGAGGGATCCCTTTATAGCATCCCTAGGAGATGAGTTTAACATCCTTATCTACTGACCAATCTCAATCCCCAAAACAGAAATAAACTAAATATTAAGTCAGCATTATTTTTAAAAATAAATTTAGTTATCATATACATTTATAATATTTTAATCTAATATATTATTTTCTTTTCAGAGGAATTTATATATACATATAAACTCACTCATATATATATATTTATAAAGATCAGTTTCTCAATCCAGTAACAATAAATATTAATAATGGAATTAAATCTAGTTCTTACCTGAGTATCACTAAGGAATTTACAAGCAAATGCCACTCTGTCACGGACAGCAACTTTGTTTTCATACTGAAAAGAAGAAAAAAAGCAAGGAGTTACTTGTAGGTGCTATGGGTTTTAAATATTTGAAGACTAAGTATTTTATATACATAAAATATAATTATATTTTTAAAGATATTAATAAGTTATTGTGTATATATTGGCAGAACCACTGATCCCTAAAATGTCTTTTTTAAAATAAAAGAAATTTTCAATTATGGTTGATACTCAATATTGTATTAGTGTTAGGTGTTAGGCATTTACATACTTTATCTGTGTTTGATAATCCTATATACTTAGTGATCCCCCATAAGTTTAATTACCCACCTGACACCATACATAGTTATTTCAATATTATTGAGTATATCCCCTATGCTGTACTTTATATCCCCACGATGACTTTGTAACTATCAATTGGTACTTCATTAATCTCTTTACTTTTTTCATCCAGTCCCCCAAGCACCTCCCATATGGTGACCATCAGTTTGTTCTCTATATGTAAGAATGTTTATTTTGTTTTTTAGATTCCATATGTAAGTAAAATCATATGGCAGTTATCTGACTTATTTTATTTAAGATGACTAACAACATAAGTTAAAGTTCTATTTCTGCTCTGCTCAAATTATTGTCCTTATGAAGTAAAATTTTATTTAACTGAACAATTCAGTTAAAAAAAATTCTAGTTCAGCCTTATAAATCTCCAACAGAAAATATAAACAATGATGTACAGCTTGTCAAGTTTAAGATGCTTGTATTCCGTGCATCACAGAAACTAGTTTGGGGGAAATATGAAATCTTTCTTTGGCTGATAGTTAACCAACAAGTCTAGGAAATCTGTGAATTACCAGTGAATATACTAGTATGAATATACAAGGACAGAATTTAGAAAAAAACAACAACAATAACACATATTTCTAAATACAAACTGGTAAGTTTTAAAACATAACCTTTATAAATTAAAAACACAGAATTTTGTGCCTACAGTAAAATACTATTAGGTGGTTTGTGTCAAAATTTTCAGAGGCATACGATAAATACTTAAATTTGTGTGAACTTGTCAACACTGTAAAACAATATTTTGAAAAAGGTTTACTATGAATGAAAGTACAATTCATTTTGTGTTAAGTAAAAAATTGTTTAAAGGTGGAAAAAAATCCTATTTCCATTGAAGTGAGTCATTCTATGAATTATATTTTTCCTCCTTTAAACAAAACACCACTTTAGTTGATACCTATCTTAGTACGTTTTCACAAATATAAAATATTTTCTAGGGTTCTGCACTAAAGAGGGGAACATGTTTGATACAAGCTCGATATAATTTTTAGTTTCTGTTTCATGTGTTAAAATTTTTTATCTGAAAAGAATTATAAATATTATCTGTCCCATTGTACAACTGAGACAAAACTAAAATCCCAAAAATTAAGATATGTGTAGCAGAGCCAAAATTCAGACCTTTATCTTTTGATTTTCCAAGTCAGTACCTTTCACGAGATTATTGCAAATTAACAATTTTTAAAAAGAACAAAATTAATTACAATTAATTTACACATAAAGTATAATTAGGTACACCCTTGAAATAGTTTGGAAATCTGAACTTCCTACTCAAGATAAGGTACCTCTACCTAATAAACCAAATTTAGCAATATGAAAAGAAGGGTCTTTATAATAGGTCACTTAATTTAAATACAGAATTTAATATTTAGACAATATTCTTCTCTATCAACTTAAAATTTGAACAATCCATTTATTTTCTAGTCCTTATCATTCTCCCACACTTCTTGAAAATATCATTTTATTTCTCCAATATACAACATTTAAAATCTTCTATTTAACAAAAAAGAGTACTAACAGTAAAAACAAAAAGAACTCCAACATGTTCTCGGATATTAACTTGAGTTGTCAGAAAAGCTCAATTGCAAATTATTTAAAACGGACAAAATCAATAAACTAAGAAATTGCAAAGATGGACACTAACATTTTTTAAAAATTTCATTCAGCCGAAACCGGTTTGGCTCAGTGGTAGAGTGGTTTGGCTCAGCGGTAGAGGGTTGGTCTGTGGACTGAAAGGTCCCAGGTTCCATTCGGGTCAAGGGCATGTACATTGGTTGCGGCACATCCCCGGTTGGGGGTGTGCAAGAGGCAGCTGGTCAATGTTTCTCTTTCATCAACATTTCTAGCTCTCTATCTCTCTCCCTTCCTCTCTGTAAAAAATTAATAAAATATGTTTAAAAAAATTTTTTTCATTCAATAAAATGCATGATTTTATAAAATTTTAGGGAATAACATTTAAGTAAATTATTCAAGCAATGTAGATTTTATAAAAAATGCTATAATGTAAAAAAAAAAAAAGTAACTTTCAAAACTTTCATGTTAGAAAGCTCTTCTTGGTGCTAGAAAGAAGCCCAACAGAACAAGGAAAGTAGTGGTACTGATGTGAAGTTTAAAACTCAAAAACTACTACTAAAACTGATAAGCAAATCTCACTTTATTCTTTCTTTCCCAACATTGTGATAAAGAACCTATATGGTTATTGCGGTCATAAGTGGTTAAAGCAGAGAGAGGAAAAAAAAATGAAAATACCAAATAATGAAAAAATGAAATAGCCACTATAAGTAGTGTGATCATATAATTTATCTTCTAAACTAGAACATGTCTGAGAATGATAAATACTAAGACAGATAAGATGTGGTCATCCTAATCATGTATTGATCATGTGTTAGTTCACTTAACAAAAATAAGAAACATGAATACACTTTTAAAAATTATATTTCAATATAAAATTTATGTTTACATAGTTGTAGAGTTCTGGAGCTCAGAACTTAGTTCTTAAGCTAACGGTTAAAATTCTATTTCTTCTATGTCTGCAAATTATATTACTAAAATTATTTTAAAAATCAAGTTCAGTTTGCTATCAGCTAATTCTACGTTGGCAGTCACATTCATGAAAAGCTGCTCCAAAGATGTTTAAGATACTTTGTTTTAAATAATAGAAAATGCATCAAACTGTAACAATATTTTTATGCAACAGACATTTGGAAATTTTAACAAGCTGGATAAAAACTCCTATTTTAAAAAGAGAGCCTTATGAAACAGAAATTAGCTTACCAATACTCCATCATAAGATCCTGCTTCACTTGTCAGAAATGCAAACATGACACACAGATAGGGGTTGTTTAGCTGTAATCGTAGAGTGCTGCACATTTCTCTCCAAAGGGAGTTCTTCTCATCAGTATAACCTGATAAAGCCATTGCTACCACATTGAGATTCAGATCACCTGCATATTAAAAACAGACAGCTAATCAAAGGTCAAAAGCTTTATAACACCACCATCTTTCAGTTCTTAAATCATAAACAAATAAAGGTCAGAGATAGAATTTTATATGCAAAAAAATAACCTCACTAGAATATGGGTTTTGATTCAGGCTAGAAAATTTGAAAAGGACCACAAGTAAAAATTTCCATTCTTACAAAACTTGTGTCCATATTGCAAACCCTATGAACGGCAAGTACCTCTTCATTTTCAAGTCCTCATTCCAGGCAGGTTCCTATAACGTATATTACTACTCAGGAACTAACGTTGAAAAAAAAAGTGAAGTCACCCTACCATTTCAAAGCATTGATAGTAAATATTACTATAAAGTTATTTCAAAATAATTTTGTTCTCCTATTCCTAAATACATAATGCATATATTTATATGTTTTAACTACAAGGTAATAAAAACCAATATTTCAGCATTCTTATTATAGTATTATGCTTTTAAATTTTTTAGGGCAAAACTATCAATCAGTATTATCACATTTGAAAAAAAGCATTTGTTACAAATACTCTTTTAAACATTTATTCTTAGAAGTTTATGTGGCTGTTGATAAGCTGATAAACTAGAAGTCAACACTATGTCTATCTAGACTTCTGACAAGTTTATCATCAAAAGAGAAAACTAAATTGACCTTTAATTTTTATTCTTTAAGTATTTTTACACTCTATAGTACAATAAAACTGTAATGGTTTCTAAGCGGACCAGCAAATAGAAATTAAGTTTCTTGACTACTCAGAAATAATTTGCTGAGTATACTAAAAATCAATAACTCTTTACATCTTAGGCATTTCCAAGTGATATGAAAACAACTGAATTTTTGGGCCCTAGTTGGGTAGCTCAGTTAGTTAATGTTGTCTTGATATACCAAGGCTGTGGGTTCAATCCCTGTGCTGGGCACATACAAGAATTAACCAATGATGCATAAATAAGTTGAGCAATAAATTAATGTCTGATTCTCTCTCTCTTTTCCTCTCTAAAAAAAAATAAATAAATAAAATGAAATCAATCAATAAAAAGTTTAAAAAGAGAAAAACTGAATTTCTGAATTCAGCTTTCTCTAAGTATTCTTTTGCAAAATATAAAACTAAAACTTTATCACATTTCGCTGTTTATTCCTTTCTAAAAAATATTAAGTAGGAATTATATTTAAATCACCAGACTCAAGTAGAAAAACTGCAAATCAAAAATATCATTTTTAAAAGAATCTACAGTCTAACTAAAAATGGATACAGAATTTCCTAAAAGTCAACCAATAACTATTAAAAAAATTATATATATATATATATATATGATCTTCCTAAGCAACCAGTCATCCAAACAACCAGACAACCAACTGGTCACTGTGACACACACTGACCACCAAGGGGCAGACGCTCAATGCAGGAGCTGCCCCCTGGTGGTCAGTGTGCCCCCAAAGCATGAGTGCTGCTCATGGGCGCCAGACACCAGAACATGGCTGGTGTGTGCAGCTAGAGCAGTGCTAGCCTCCCCTGCCGCAGCAGCAGTGCTAACAAGTGGCAGCAGGCACTGCAGGGCAGGGATGAGTGGGAGCGGCGCAAAGCCCAGCCTGGACTTGGGCTCTCTTGGGCTGCCTGCTGCATCACACACTACTATATCCCCAGAGGGGGCCAGATTGCAAGAGGGCCAGGCTGAGGGACCCCAACAGTGCACAAATCTGTGCCCTGGGCCTCAAGTATAAAGTAAAATACACTCAAATGTGCACCATAAAAATGCTTGCAAACTAAAGTAGTCCTAATCTCCAAGAAAATACATTTTAAAAATGAGCTATGTTTAAAAGAAAATGGACTCATCTGAACATTCCTTAAAGGACTATTTAGACACTTTTCCCCACCTCTCCCTAACCTTCCCACTGTAATTTGACAGTCTGTTTGATGCTTTACTGCCTCTGTATCTATCTTTTTGTTCATCAGTTTAGAATGTTCTTTATTATCCACAAATGAGTGAGATCATGTGGTATTTTTCTTTTATTGACTGGCTTATTTCACTTAGCATAATGTTCTCCAGTTCCATCCAGATCACATTTTCTTTTTTACAGACTTAATCCAAAGCATAAATAAAAGGGAAGAGCTAATATTTATAGAGTACTGTGCTAATCTCTCTTTCAAAAAAATTTAATGAAAATATTAACTGACTAGTTTTTTGAAAGTTGTCAGTTTTTTTTTTGTTTTTGTTTTTTTTTAAGGAGTCTAGGAACTGCAAGTACAGTAGAATATAACCCAATACCTTTTTCTGAAGATGCCCCTTCATTCAGGATTTGGATTGCTCGTCGAATATCCAAGTTGAACAGTGCCACAGCAGCGGCTCTCTCCCATTCCCCTTCTTGTACCAGGGAGTTCAAAAATGGCCCTACATCTACATCTGTTCCTTTCTTAATCCATCCACAAAGCTGTAAAGCTAAGATTCTTTCTTCATTTAAATTCTGTATATCAGTTTGCTTATCCAATCCACTCCAATTATGTCTAGTGTTTTCCACCATTCCTAAAATGAGAAACATTTTTATATTAATTGCTTCATTATTTATTATTTTTAGTAAACTTCTTGAGGATACATTGGTTAATAAATCATTACAGAGGTTTAAGGGGTTCAATTCTATATTACCTGCATCTTGCATTGTGTGTTCACTACACCATGTCATGTCTCTTTCCAACACCATTTATACCCTCTTTCCACTCACTTTTGCCTCCTCCCACTCTCATTTCCCTGTTAATAATCATATTGTAAAATTTTTGAAATTTTAAAAGTTAACTAATACACTTGAAATTATGTATTTTTAACCTTACTATTGGAAACTGTTGATAGTATATGTCAAGGAGTTAAAGAAGATCTCTGAAAAGAGAATCCCTGCCCATCAAAATGAGGAAAGCATTCTGCTATATTAATAACAATGATGGAAGTTATTTGAGACCAAAAAAAAAAAAAAAAAAAAAAAAATCACTTTTATTTTTAAAAAGTGAAATTTTAAGAACTATGATAAAACTTTGAATAATTAAATAAGTTATTTTTCCAAATTTATATTGTTTAGATAGAATGTAATCATTACATTTCAGGTAAAACAAACTGCAGATGTACTAAGGTATTTATTTTCATACTAGAGGCCCGGGGCATGGAATTCATGCACGGGGATAGGATGGGGGATGGGTGAGCTATCCCTCAGCCCAGCCTGCACCCTCTCCAATCTGGGACTCCTTGAGGGATGTCTGTCCGTTTAGGCCTGATCCTATCTAAGACTGCTGGCTCCCAACTGCTTGCCTGCCTGCCATCTTGATTGTCCCTAATAGCTTCTGCTTGCCAGCCTGATTGCCCCTAACTGCCCTCCCCTGCAGGTCTGGGTCTCCTCCAACTTCCCTTCCCTGCAAGCCCGGTCATCCCTAACTGCCCTCCCCCCTGCAGTCTTGATTACCCCCAACTACACTCTTGGATGCTTGGTCTACTCCCAACTTCTCGCCCCTGCTGGCCTGATTGCCCACAACTTCCCTCCCTTGCAGGCCTGGTCCTTCCCAACTCCCCTCCCCTGCTGGCCATCTTGTGGTGGCCATCTTGTGTCCACATGGGGGCAGCCATTTTTGACCACACATGAGGGCAGCTATCTTGTGTTTTGGAGTGGTCAATTTTCACATACAATAACTTTTATTACAAGGGATTGCCCCTATAAATTTTGGATTAAATGCTGATATTATTATTTTTTAATATAGAGTTTTTACAGAGAGGAAGGGAGAGAAGAGAGATAGAAAGGAAGAGGGGAGAAAAACTGATTGGTTGCCTCTTTATACACCAGACTGGGGATAAAACAGCAACTTTGGTATGTGCTCTGACCAGAATCAAACCTGTGACCTTCAGGTTCATGGGACAATGCTCCAAACAACTGAGCCATCTGGCCAGGGCCAAAAGATCCACTGTCTAACCACAACCCCAAAGTCTTCTAGAAATCTAATTTCCTATGCTTCAATCTCATACTCTCTTGACCACTCATTTTTACTTACCAGTCTTTTCCTCCAATTTTTCCTCTCTATTCAAGCTAGATTCCAATGGTCAACAATTGAGTCGCTCTCTTACTTCTCCTGCCACACTGCCCTTTATTCTTTCCTCTGGTAAAGCTACAGTTCCCCACAACCTTCCTATGTCTCTCAAGACAAGTCTCTCTGCTCTTCTCCCCATCTTCTCTAGACAACCTTCTTGGTCTTTCTCAACAAGCAAACCTAATATATTGAGAAAACAGGAGTCATCAGTAGCAAAGCCCTCAGCTCTTGTCACTGAACCTTAAACAAACTGCAAACCTTTCCCCTTTCCCTCTGGCTAACATGGAGGTGCACATACTGCTACCTAAAGCTTTGGATCTCTTTCCCACTTATTCCTTGGTATTTTGCTCTTCACCTCCTTATCTCATCTTCAACCTCTCTCTTTGGGGTTTTTCCCATCAGCATTTAAACATACTTAAATTAATCCCATGTCCAAAACAAAAACAAAGCAATAAAAAGTCCTCTTTGACCCCAAAGTCACCTGCTGCTACTACTACTACTGTATATATTTTTATTCTTCATCTAGTCAAATTTCTTGAATTATGTAAAATGGATGACTTGACTTCTTCAACTTACTCTAAATTTCTTACCTACCCTAGATATCTCCATCTATCTATCTATCTATCTATCTCGATTTAACTTATTCCAAAATAAATCCTTATTCTCTCAAATAGGCTCTTTATATGTGATTCCTATATAATTAACTGATACCAGTATTAAACCAGTTTCCTAAGCTAACTATATGTTAGCTTTTCCTCCTCCATCCCCCTTTATCCAATTAGTCATTAAATTGTGTCCCAATCTCTAACTTATCCATATTTCTCTAGCTCCTTTGCCACTAATCTTGGTAAAAACACTATCATATTGTTCCTGATTACTGTGGCTTTTCTGAGGTTCCTGCTATCAATCTTGATCCTCTTCTATTCATTCCTCACAGTGACAGCTCTAAAACACAATCTAATTGCCACTATTCTTTAAAATGTTTCCCCTTATTACAGGATAAATTATTACCATAAGTCCTGAGTTACCCATTGTTTACTTTTCTGATATCCATTCTTTCTTCACTTTCTCTCACATGCTCTGTTCCAGCAATACCTGCATATCCTATGCTCCTTCACCTTGGGGCTCAGGCATATGCTGCTCCCTGCTCTTTGCCTTTGCCTCCTCCAGAAAACCTTCTCAATACCTACAAGTCAGATCAGGTATTCTATATATAATTGTCTTCTTCATGTTATAACTGCCTGTTTTATCTATCTTTTTCAGTATCCATAATTGATATCTTGTTCATAATTATGTCTCCAGTTTCTATAACAATTCTTAGCACACAGTGAACAAGTAATAAATATTTGGTGAAATAGTGAATAAATTTACATCATATTGTATAAGAATTAAAGTAACAGGGAAAAAGTGATTGGCATGATGTCTAATTCATAAGCACTAAATATATTTGCTACCAAAGTTTAAATATAGCTGTGTTTTATAATAAATTTGATTAATTATGGTGGACAAGATAGCTCAATGTATAGAATTATTATGTGTTAACACATAATGGTATTTTATTAATACAATGGTATTAGAGATACCATAGAGAATAGAGTATGGCCAGATAAAAGATTGAAACTTAGGAATGCTCTTTGACAGTCACTTCTTTACCTATTACTTTCAAGTTGTATAAACAAAAACATATAAGCCAAACCAAACAAAAAGCTGAAGGTCTAGCAATGAAAAAATCTTTCCAAGAGTAGTTTTTTGTTTTGTTTTTTTAGTTTGGGTGCAGACCATTTGACTTAAATCAAGGTAATCAGTTTGTCCCTCCTGCACCAAAACCACAGATATTCCACCTTCCCTCTTGCTTTTCCTCAGAGGTAGTTTGTTGGGTTTTCCTTAAAACATAAAAATATAACAAAAACAATAATAAATCTCAGAATAACTGAGAACGCAATGTTGCCTGATGTACTTTTTAGATAAAATACTAAAAAATTTATTAAATTATTGTAGCAATTCTAAAATCATGAACCACAGTATTCAGGCTCATTGATAGGGGTATTACAGTATATCTGTCCTTTTACTTATATTAATAAAAAAATAGAAGTTTTAAATTGAACTCACTCATTTTATTATTTATAATAAAAATTACTTTTGTTGGTGGAGTGCTAATGAGAATAATTAAATGAAATAAGTCATAAAAGTAGTCCACTGCATCTTTATCAATGTGAACTAAAGCAATTTTTGTGTATGTTTTTTTTAATCCTCATCCAAGGACATGCTGAGAGAGAGTGAGTGAGAGGGAGGGAGGGAAGGAAGGAGGGAAGGAGTAAGAAAGGGAGGGAGGGAGGGAGAAAAAAGGGCATCAACGTGAGCTCCCCAACCAGGGATCAAACCCACAACCCAGGCACGTGGCCTGTCCAGCAATCTAACCTCCCTGGCAACCTTTCAGTGCATGTGACAATGCTCAATCAACTGAGCCACTCCAGCTGGACTGAATTAAAGTTGACAGTCCTTTAAAAATTGTAACAGTTTAATCAAAATACTTAACCTATTAAAAATAGCATTCACTTAGTATGATTTGTATAGTATTGAAAGTTGTATTAAAATCTAAGTTGGATTTATTACTTCTGCTAACACTCTGACTAAATAATGTGAACTTTTCTAGCAGTTTGAATTAAGCCCAAATTTGACTGCTAACAAAAGCTAGATATGGAATCCTCATTTGGGGAGATGTCTGTAATATAACCTACAACTTAATTCCAATAAAAACATTAAAGAAATCAATGGGGGAAAAAAGTAAGTTTGGCTCTTTTGTCCTCTTCACTTTATTCTTCAATAGTCTTATCAATTTTGCCAAAACCGGTTTGGCTCAGTGGATACAGCATCAGCCTGCAGACTGAAAGGTCTCACATTTGATTCCGGTCAAGGGCATGTACCTTGGTTGCGGGCACATCCCCAGTGGTGGGAGGAACGGGGGTGCAAGAGGCAGCTGATTGATGTTTCTCTCTCATCAAGGTTTCTAACTCTCTATCCCTCTTTGTAAAAAAATCAATAAAATATATATTTTTTAAAGTCTTATCAATTTCAATCCTATAGTAATTCACACATTCATTCAATCAGCAAGAACTATTTTAAGTATGGGTCCTTCAAGTAAGGCCATACTTGGTATCAATTACATATAGACCTTGCCATTAGATAGCTAAGAGAAAGTAAGCAACAAAATAAAAAGGGGCTTCTTCAATGAGAAATTTAGTTTTTATAAAAACAAAATACTATAATAAAATTCTAACTAACAACCAGGATCCTATAAATCATCTAATGTAATACCTCTCAAAATGGGTCTTCATAAAAAACAATTACACATTTAACTCAACTTGCAAAAATATCTACTCAAAACCCAAGAGAAAAAAAAAGCATTTATGTATACTATCCTGAAATACATAAATAATGGGGAAATATAAAAGTACAAAAATTATGAACATATTGCAGAAAATAGAATTTTCTTACCCAAAGATGATTTTACAATTGATTTAATTCCTGCATAAACCAATGATCCTTTGTTGCCTGGAGATTTCTGGTCCATATCTTCTGTATACTGCTTCATGAGTATTTAAATGCATAGGAAATACTACTAATAATAGATAATAAAATATTTCAAAGCTAAATTTATTTTGATTTGAAGCCAATTTATAATAGGCGTCAGTGTAAACAAGGTGGTTCTACTCTATTATGGAGTTATACTTTCTTCCTCCTACACAATCTGCAAAAGCAGTATTTCAAGTTCTACAGTTTTAAACAATTTTAGTTTGTAATTTAGCATTATATAACTTGTATTTGCATATAAGACATTCAGTATATTTACAGACTGACCTTTCCACAAACTTCAAGAACATTTCTATCTGATTCATCTGAAAATTCACAACACAAAGGATATAGTGCAGAGTATACCAGAGTGACTTGAGCTGTGGATCTTCATTTCCAGCTAAAATATGGTTTCTCCACACTTGTTCTGTATCAAGTCCGTACCTTGATAAAGCCCGAAGGCGCATCTTAGTTGCTATATCTTTTTCTAAAGAATTATCATTTTCTTCTTCTGTACATTCATACAAATGACGACCACAAGCCCACATTAAAGATGTAATTGGGCTCCAGGCAAGAGATATCCTTTCAAAAACAGTGAAGTCAGACATTGTTCGGTTGGGAGTTACAACTATCATTCGATTTTGACTTGTTGGATGCCAAGCAAAGGAAGCAATGTAATTGTCACACGGTTGCACACTTCTTTCAATTATTGTGGGTTCAGTTTCATCCCCAATGGGAGTGGGTGTATGTTGCATATCATACAATCTAATAATATTACTATCCCTTGTTAAAGTGGCAAGCAGACCAGTCCTAGTTGGACACCAGGCAACTTTTGTTAAGGGTTTTGGTTGCTCAGTCAAAGTCAAAACTGGCTTCTCAAATTTCCTAAGATCCCATATTGCAACCTGACCTTCATAGAAGGAAGCAACACGATCATGGAAGTATGGGTCTACTGTCACCCCCTGAACAGCTTTTGTATTTACAAACATCTTTTGGCTTGTATTCCGAAGATCAAATATGGCTAGGTTACGATGCATACCAGCGAGGAGAAGTTTCTGGTCCCGTGGAAGCCAACAAAGAGAGAGACAAGCATCATTCTGTCCTAATTCATAAAGCGGTTTTGTTACTAATAATGTTGTTTCAGTTTCACCTGCTGAAAGTCTCACTTTCTCCATGGGGATTATATCAGGAGTATATTTGCTGCAGATATCCCAAATCAGCACTGAAAAATCAGCTCTATGTTTATCCAGACCAGCAGCAAGCCAGTTACTATCCAACGGATTCCATGCAAGGGTATTGCATTGTCGTGCATGCTTTGGAACAAATTCTTTTCCTATCAAATCTCTGAACTTTGAGTTGTGATCTTGACCAAGACTTGTGAGTACAACTCGACCATTTGCTTGTCCAACGGCTAGGAGACATTCAGGATCATAATTGAGGTACCAAGCAACACATTTCATATAGGGTGTATCTGAATTTATTGATAGCAAGGTAGCTGCAGAGTCTTCAGATAAACGTAAAGATCCAGCTTTGAGTTCTGAATTCACAGTAGATTCCACATGATAAAGGCTCAGTTCTGAGTCACATACAACAAATCTATCAACCTGGTGTGGTGCCCACAATATATCAGGTTTGGTACCGCTCATGTTTATTGATGTGTTCAAAGTGTCCAGTCAGGTCCATTCACTGAATATCTGTTTAAAAATGAAAAGTTTAAAATGTTAACAAAATATAATTCTAAGTTGAATAAACTATTCAGAAAGTCAGAAAATACTAGTATAGGTACTCTGCTTTTCAATGTATATATATTTCTTGTATTTGCTGTAAATCCAAAATAATACCCTATCTAATAAAAGAGTAATATGCAAATTGACAGTCACTCCAAGATACAAGATTGCCACACACACACACACACACACACACACCCATTTATACCTCTAGGACCCAGCACAAAATTAGGCCCTTATTAGATACTTAATTGTTAAATTTCAAAATGAAATTAACTTACTTGTTAAATGCTCCCTCTAATACTTATAACTGTTATCTCCAAGTTTTACCAATCTCCGCATCTTTCCACCCATTACCTCTGAGAAGCTGACTCAAGCCAAGAACAAAGTGCCCACTGTTATAACTATTCCAATGATGGGAGGAGCCCACAAATAGCCACCTGAAGAGAGGATCACTCTAATACACTGTCTTTCATTTATGCTGTAAACATTTATTAGGCAATTTCTATGTTCTACACACTTTTCTAAATGCTATGAACACATTATTGAACAAGGACATATAAGGTCCCTGGCTGCAATAAACTGGACTGTGTCTCCCCAATATTCACATGCTGCAGTCCTAACCTCCCATGTGTTTGTATTGGAGACAGAGCCTTAAAAGAGGTGGTGAAGGTTAAATTAGATCATAAAGGTGGAATTCCGGTCTAATTGGTGCTCTTATATGAGGAAAGAGATACCAAAACTCTCCCCACCATGTGAGCACACAGCAAGAAGACAGCTATCTGTAAGTCAAGAAGAGAGCTCTCACCAGAACTAGACCACACTGGCACCCTGATCTCACATCTCCAGTCTCCAAAACTGTGAAAAAGTTATTCTGTTGTTTAAGCCATTCAGTCTATGCTATTTTGTTATGGCAGCCCAAGCAGACTGCATTCTAGTGCTGAAGTTATGTCCAATCTTAAAGAGAATTTAAAAATTTAGGAATGAGAAGGAAGAGAAGCACCTCATGTACTAAATAGTAACTAACACAACAAAAAGAAGGAACAGATACTGTCAAGTAATGGTTCATACTCATGCCTTAACAGAGGAAACCTCTAAATTGCAGGTATCCTGAGATCTGACCCATCTTCCTATCTCACTAAAAATTAATTGCTTAATAAGCTTACTTTTTATCCACACTTCCGTCCCACATCCACCCACTCTGTATCAGGGGTGGACAGTTCTTGACATCACACAGATGATGTATCACAATGATTCCCTTAAACATCCCTAGAACTGAATGTTTTTTAAGTGTTGGAGACATTGAAAAATTGGGGGCATAAGGGGTGGAACCTGCAATAATTACAGCTCACAGTTAGATCCTCACCTTCCAGTTTAACAAGTTAAGTGCTCACTTCCCATCAGTGGTGTCTGAGCGAAGGAAAGCCATGTTGCTTCTCTGTTCCTCAGTATTGTCCAACAGAAATATAGTGGGAATCATAGTTTTCTAGTAGCCACGTTGGAAAAAAAAAAGAATAAATGAAGTTAAATTTAATAATATTTTACTTAACCCAACATATCAAAAAAGTATTATCCCTTTCAATATGTGATCCATGTAAACATTTTTGAGACTTTTTTTTTGTTTGTTTGGGTACCAGCTTGGAAATCCAATGTGTATTTTATACTCACAGGGTATTTCAGCCGCACCGGGCTACTGGGCTGTGTGTGATCTGTAATACTCAGCGCACACAAGGTAGCCGATCACGCTTTCACATGCGTGTTTTTTTTTTTTTTGGTCGTTTTTCTACTTTTCTGACTATGACCAAAAAACAACAGTAGCAGTTTCAATAAAGTCCAACCACCACCACCTTCTATATGCACTGTACCTATATGTTATCCTTAGAGTTATGCAAAAAGGTAATTGCAGCTAGGCCAATTCGGCCGCGCTCACACCGCACGGAGAGGCTCAGTTTACCCTTTTTGTGGAATTTTCATCGCTCCTCCCCCAGAGAACAGAGCGGACCGGTAAGTATTTGGGATACAGCCAGCGCAGGCGATTCCGGGGGAACCGGGAGCCTGAGGGCGGCTCCCACGCTCAGGGCACCGGGCGGACCTGGGGTCCCCGGCGAGGACGCCGTTCCGCACACACCCGCCGCCCCCGAGGCTGCAGCGCGGCCCAGGCGCCGGGAAGTCCCTGCGGGACCCGGGCGGCCCGCCACCCCGAGGCGCCCTCCGAAGCCCCGCGCGGTTCCCGCAGCGCGAACCCCACTCCCAGCGCCCGGGCTCCGAGGAGGCCCCCGGTCCGCCCCCGCCGGCCTTTCAGCGGCGCCCCAGGTCCCTCCTCCAGGCTGGCCTTCCTTTCTGGCCGCACTCACCGACTTAGGAGGCCGCCCGCGCGGGCGCGGCGCCGCACCGCCGCCGCCCCCAGCCCGGTGGCCGCGCTCCCGCCGCGGGAAGCAACCCCGACACGGGCAAGATGGCGGCGCGGCCCGTAACGTGGGCCCACCCGACTGGGACCCACGACCCCACAGCCGCGCCTCCGCGACGCGCGCCCACGCCTCGGGCTCGGAAGGGGAGTTCCTGGACCACGAGCTCCGCCCCTTCAGGAGCCCTGCCCCGGAGCGGGAGCGGGGGGGATGGGGGAAGAGGGAACTTCTCAGGAGACCCCGCCCCCAGCGCCCTCCACAGGCCCCGCCCCCAGCGCACTGGTTTGCTCCTGCAGGCACCGCCCCTAGCGCACTGGTCCGCTCCTGCAGGCACCGCCCACAGCGCACTGATTCGCTCCTGCTGGCCCCGCCCCCAGCGCACTGGTCCGCTCCTGCAGGCCCCGCCTACAGCGCACTGGTTCGCTCCTGCAGGCCCCGCCCCCAGCGCACTGGTCCGCTCCTGCAGGCCCCGCCCACAGCGCACTGGTCCGCTCCTGCAGGCTCCGCCCACAACGCACTGGTCCTCTCCTGCAGGCCCCGCCCCCAGCGCACTGGTTCGCTCCTGCAGGCCCCGCCCCCAGCGCACTGGTCCGCTCCTGCTGGCCCCGCCCCCAGCGCCCGGATCCGCTTCTGCCGCCCCGCCCCGACCTCTGGGGCGGGATCCTGGCCTGGGATCTGGGCAGCTTCTCAAAGGCACGTTTATTGTTTTAAGTACTTTATATGCTTCAGTTCATTTGGTTTGTTAACATTTTCATTAAACATTTATGTTGACTGATGTATGAGAAAGGTCCAGGTATTTCGTTCACGATTTATTCACTAATTTCCTCATTCCACAATCAAGTTTTGACTGCCTATGGTGTAGCTAGCACCAATGCTGGGGACACCAGAATGAACCAAAAAGACATGATCTCACAGGAAGCAGGCAATTAGAGTGGTGCTTCTTTGGGGCTAATACAGTGCTCCACAGGCAGGGGCGCCCCCTTACTTTTCGGGTATCAACACGTTTCTTTGAGGCCCACTTGGTTGAGAAATGAAGGATGAGTATGGGATTAGCCCGGAAAGGAAACAGGGGAGAGAGGTTTGGAAGGGAAGAGTCTTCGTGGGTGCAGGAAGGGCAAGTGCAAGGTCAGGGGGAGGGCAAAGCAGTGGGGTAACAGTGCAGGGTGGATGTGAGTAGAGGAGTGGGGAGAGATTAAGATGCTGTATCAGAAAGGCATTTGGAAATCAGGTCAGTGAATTCGGATGGACTTTTACCTAAAAGCATTGGTGAAGCCATTGCACTGAAGGTGTTTAAACATGCCCAGAGGTGGGATCCGTTTGGGGGAGGACATGGGAAACGGACAGGATAAGGATCCCAATGAGAGATGATGGTCACCCAAACTACCGTCGTGTGGAGAGTGGGGATAGAGAGAATTGTGTGACCTGAGAAATATTTCCAAAGTCGGATGACACACTGAGGGAGAAAGAGGTTTCTAGATTTCTGGCTCCCACATTACAGCATATGGTGCTGCACCAGTGTTACACATCCGACACAGGCTTTCTTCAGATTTCTGGCAATCTCTGCTTGTCTGTCCATGCTTAAAAAGGGATGGTGTCAGGCTCCTGGTGATTGATGTAAAAGAGCTTAGTTCTGATGACCTTCAAAGCAGAACATTCTGTGGAGAATATGACTGGCTAATCCCCAGCTCCCTTTACTTCCACGTGGGCAAAATCAGTCTTTACCTGAAAGCAAGTTTTGCTCTTAGACATCAGGAGGAAATTTCGGTCCTGTAAACATTTGGCATGGCTTAGGTAATCTTTTTATAAAGGTTGAAGATGATATCTGAGATATTTAATAGATATATATCTTTTAAGAGTTATAAGGTTTTATTTATTGATATTTATTTATTTATTTATTTATTTATTTATTTATTTAGAGAACAAGAGAGAGAAACACTAATTTATGCATCCATTGGTTGTTTCATGTATGGGCCCTAACTGGAGATTGAATCCGAATGTGCGCTAATCAACTGAACTACTTGGCCAAGGCCAAGATCTGAGATATTTTAAAATAGTGGTTTTCAAAGGTATTCTAGCATTACTCCCAAATTATATAAATCAATGCACTTATTCATACATTTGAGGGGTTACATCTAATATTGTCACCAACCTTACATAGCTGCCAAGGTTATGATTTTTAATACTTTTTATTTTTTATTGCTGACACTATTAGCAATGTCCCTCATATATCCTTGCCTTTTCTTCCTCCTCTCTGCCTGTGCCCTGCTCTGGCCTTCACGTCTTTATTGTCTGTGTCAATGGCTAATGCATATATGCACATATATTCTGGGTTTTTTTATATCCTCATTCAAAAATATTTTTTCCCACTGATTTTTAGAGAAAGTGGGAGTGAAGAGAGAGAGAGGGGGGAGAGAGAAACATTGATGTGAGAGAGACACATCTATTGGATGCCTGCCACATGTGCCCTCACCAGGGATCAAACCTGCAACCAAGGTACTTGCCCTTGACTTGGAA